ACTCAAACATAAAAATTGAAGTTTTTTAGAAAAATAAAATTTTATTTTAAGGATGCATGGACTATACAGTCAATCCCAAAAGTTTATGGACTTTAGAAAAACGCATTCTCTATAATTAAAAATAAATCAGACGTCGGAAGAACTGAGACGTCGATAGGTAGTACTGTACTTACATTACGGTAGTGTACAAATATTATAATGACGGAGCACGTCGAGTCGTTTTGAACTAGGAAATGATATTTTACACCAACGCTTGAGACCACGAACTAGAACTGCTCCTGGACTGCGTTTAATATAGGAACGTCGAGTGGGATATTTTGCAATTAACATTCTGATAGCAGTATATCGATAAGAGGGTAGAAATTTATTTTCTTTTTTTTCGAGCAGCCACTCGTGTGACACGAACGCGTTCTTTCAGAAGTTCTAGTCTTTCCGGTTAAACGTGTTCTTATGTATCTTCGTATGCAATCAGGAGCTCGCTTGGGAAATAAGTGTTATCGAATTGTTTTCTTCCTTCACTTATTTTTCTACTTTTACCGTCACGACGAGCGAAAGCACAGCGAATGTATGGATATTAAACCAGATTAAGCAACATTAAATCTATGATTTTACCTGATAGTTGAATCTTTTTTTTAATCTCCGCGATTTTCTTGTTTAAATCGTTTAATTTGTTTTCCACGTTGGGTGTCAATGGGTCGGACATGGTTTCACTGAGAAGCTTTAAAATTTAGGTATCTGCTTATCGACTCAATAGCGTCTGCTGTTGTCTTGGAGATGATATTGCATGGAAGTCGGTTGGTAGTGTCATGCGCGAACGAGTATATATTTATCATATCCTAGATTCTATCATTTGCATTAAAAGCGTTTCTTATAAATGAAAATAACTATTATTTAAACCGTAATAAGAAACGCTTAAAAAATTTGTATCATTGAGTTACATTTCATTTGAGAAGAGATGCATTTCGACGCGACAATGGCATCACTCGCAGATGCTTGTGGTTCGATAATAGGGTTAATCGTCCCATTAATAAAAACTAACAACCGAGGCGGTATTCCATGCGCGCGTGTATCCTCGCATGCCTCCGGGAAACGCGCAAAGGGGAAAGAAAGCAATTCGTAAGGCTTCGCCTGTTGAATGGACTTACGGAGAGGGGCACCGAATTATAATTCCGCATTTGTATTCGTTAAGGCAGGCACAGCCGCGCCTGGCGGCAGAGCCTCTACCCGGCGATGAATTTCGCGTTACACGCAATCAACCCGCTGGAAGGTTAATTAATGATCAGACATGTTTGGCCAGTGCTCGACGGGCCCTCATACACATCGCTGTCTTCCCACTTTATAACTGACCACGTTCGTTGCGTTTGCCGTTTGAATTCTAGTCTATCGTCGCGTCGTTCGCGTTTAGATTTTCCCATCTGTACGGGAATCAGGGATTCGTTTCACATATGTGACTCGAATTTCGTCAAACCGAACGATGAAAGAAACAGCGAAGCGTCAACAAGGAAGAGTAAGTAGCATTATTTAGAGAAAATTACAACATTGGTGAGAAGACATTAAAAAAACATGAGAATCATTATTTAAGACTGATTTTGTTTGAGCGAAGAACTTAAACTTTATTTAGGCTTTAATTCTTACATATAGGGAAGACTAAAAAGGTTGTTATGATTAAAAGTATAAAAAGGAGCATGTAGAATAAAATACGTTTGAAATTAATGTACTTTTTATTAAAATCATATATACATTTAATTATGTTTCGACAGTATTTCATGCCACGTCCTGCTTTTTTGTGAACTATAAAAGTGAGTATTTTAACACGTATTAGAAAAAGACTCGAGAACCATAAACCTTTACAGTGTATACAATGAATGTAATTCTTCCTGGAAATCAAGGATTTACGGAATGTTACAATTGTTTGTTTTTGTAAGCTCTATTGTATTCAGTGCTCCGATTTGGTCGCTTCCGAAACACAGGGCTAAACGCTACGGCTCGTCTCCCGTTGAAGCCGAGTTCTGATTGGCCGATACCGTCAGCCATCGCATGGCTGCGGAGTGATACAACCATCGGAGGCAGGTGCGCGCGCACTGAGGAACTACTTTCAGCGCGTTAAGCGAACAATAGGGATCCCAGAAGTGTTTCGGACGCGGTCGTGTTCGTATACGGTTGCCGTATGCTTTTTTTCTCGTGTTGCCTCGCGCGTACGTGTAGAAACAACTTAGCTGGACGTATCGGAGGTGACGATAGCTTTCGGACGATGTGCGCGGTCAAGTGATTACCTACGCGGATTTTCTTCTCGACTCCGAGTGTGGCAACGAGAGAAGTGTCGTTCGTTCGTTCTCTGTCTGTCTTTCCCTTTAGTGTGTGCACCCGGCCCCCGATGAGTGTGTGTTTGTCCGATGTGTGTGGATAAAATTCACGGCATCATGCTGCCACGACGAAAATTGGATTACGCATCGATGGCGTGCCTCCTGCTGCCACTGTTCCTCGTCATTTCGCTGCCCGTGGTGTCCGGTAAGTCCTTTCGCTACGAATACCGCGCTCGCGAGTCAGTTCGAAGTCGTTTGCTCGCCACATGTCGGTGCTAGGCAACAGGTCTGAAACAACGCCGAGCGCCGGCGCGTTTCGTTCGGCGTCTTCTTTCGAACGACTTTTTCTCGTTCGAACGTCTCGCACGAGAACGTTTCGTTCGAGGTCAACGCGTTGAAGGATCATCGGACGATTTCGTTCTGGATAATTGGTATTCCGGAGCGATGTCGAACATCGCCGTGCTTCCTCGTGATTACTACCTGTCTCGAAAATATTGACCCTTTGGGCCTGCCCTCGCTCACCGACGCGTCCTTTTTCTTTTCTCGAAATGGACGTTACGTATAAGATTTTTGCTCAGATTTCTCATGCCTCCCCGGTGGACGTCACTTCGGAGCATGCTTACGTCGTCAACGAGTTCGATGTTAAGACTCTTGATGTATCGACGAAAATCGAAAACTGTCTTTTCTGTTGTTCGTGTTAATCACGAAGTAGTTTTGATTCGTGATTTACTCTTGCATTTTCGACATAAAGCGCGATTCGCCTCGTCGTATACACGTGGTTTTGTTACCGTCACAGCGGTGTTCAATGCTCGATGTACGTAAACGAATCGACTTAAGGTTGGCAGCCTCTGAGGGACAGGTGCCCAACCCCGCTTTCCAGGAAACGAGTCTTCCCTCGTGCGCTTAAACGGCCCCATTTTCCTCCCGGCTCGCGATCCGCTTCGCTTTTCCCTGGACATAGTCGAAACGAAAATTCTTGCCAGGGTCACATACAGGACGCAGCATCTTGCAAAACAATTCCATCTATTTTTCCTCAATAACAAGCGTAACGTTTATGACCTTTCGGACGGTTAAGCCAGTTTTCATTTTCGCTTTTCTACAACGCATGAATCAATGAGGAGTTTGTGACGTAACGCGTTCGGATCATGTGAACTGTTAAGGGGGGAGGGAACGTGCGCTCGGTACGAAATTGATTTTTAAGAAAGTTTATAAAATCAACGCACGGACAAAGCTCGATTAGATATTGCGTAATGAAACTAATTTTAGTTTGAGATGAAAAGATATGGAGATTTTAATTAACGATTGGAACTTTATATAAAATATAAAGATTGATTATAAACAAAGGTGAAAGGTAAAAGAACTTGACCCAAGGATCATAAAATATTTTAGCTGAAGGAAGAACAACGAATGGTAAATTGAAAAAATATGGCGTTGCGTTTCTGGAACGTTCACCGATTGAGCGGGGTCGTCGGTCTCCTTCTGAGAGGACCTCGCCTCTCGGTTTGTTACTTTTGCGTTAAGATACTCCCAATGCGCCGGCATGGCGGCGCGGTGGCGTTCTCCAAGACGCTCGCCGTTCTTACGTTCACAGGCTTTCTCTTCTCTCTCTCCGTAGGAAACGGTCCGCCTCGACTTGACGCGCTTTCACACAAAACCGCGTATATCGTCTCGCGTCGTCTCTGCACCGATACAGACAGTATCACGTTCGTTTTCATTACTCCGACTCGAAATTAATCAATCAAACTTACTTAACAACCTTTTTATCCATTCGTAACTGAAATTTCTATTAAACGTTTAATCTCTAACGAGATTCAATTGCTTAACATCCTGACTACGACGTTTCGAAATGATTGTTTGCAATGTTAAATAAGTTGTGCTAGTCGTACAAATTTTTTAGTAAATTTTTAAAGACGAAGGATAGAATTCTAAAAAATTGTTAAGTATAATCTATAAATTCTAAGGTAGCAACGTTCTTCCTAAATCACATAATTACCGGAGATACACGAAACCGTCAGGGGGCTTAGAATCCGACGTGCGATCGACCTGCAACCGGTTCCTCGTTCCCTTTCATCGATTCAGGGGCCACACGACACGGCGCAGTGAACCTTCCGTGCACACGTGCATAGATACACACGAATGCAGCTTGAGAAACGCGTGCACCGTGACACTAAACTAAAGTTTGCTAGCTGTCCGTCTCTGTTCACTTGGGGGCAATGAAAGCTGTCGCGATTTTTTTTAATGATAATTCGTACAGAAACTTTATCTCCGAGAAAAGTCCGATTTTCAATAATTGATCGTCATCACAGGAATCGTGCGAACAATATTTGAGACCAATCGCTATTATTTTAGTTAATTTATCTTTGATCATTGAAGTTACATGTATGTTATGATTATTCAAATCTCGAGCCTGATCCTCGACCAGGTATTTTCACGAGCTGTGGAACAACCACGAGTTTCATGTGATCCTCGAACGTGCACGGAGATCGATACTTTTCCTCTCTTCACCGATCGGCCTGTTTTCTCCGTCAACCGTCGGACACTGTAGGAAGAGAGGAGATAAGTCGCGGTATCTCGCGGCATCTGTTAACTAAAAGGGCAAGATCTCTCCCGGTTCTCCGACGACCCGGGCTATACCGCCACGCGGACATTTGCATTCGTCTTCAACCCTTTTCTTCCCCCGTTGTTGGCGCATAGCGTAAAACCGCATAATTAAGGGCCCCGACTACCGCGCACGTCCATCCGTGCCTTTCCGTTTCTTTCGTTCCTCCCTGCCAGTTACGTCGTCGTCACTGAAGATCCGTGGCTGCTCTTCGGTATCGTGCAAGAATCGAGGATTGTGCCGTCAGTCAACGCCGGGACAGCCCTTATAAAGCACCAAAGGATCTATCCTGCGTGCTAGTATGCAGATTCCGAGAAGCTCGTAGAGAAACAGAATTTTTCGAAACCCGAAGGGACATCCGAGAGGCACGCCGAGCGCTTGCGCGCGTACATCTTCGTACAACGTAGCTAAACATTGAATTGGATCGAGCAGCGTTTCTGCATGGTCGCGGGTTCGAAGAGGACTTGGGAAAAGAGACATAGCGTTTCGTTTAACCTTTTTATATCAGGTTGCTCGCCGCTTTCTCACGTCTCGAATCTCGGAAACGCATTCAGTTCATTATCAGCCCGGAGCATCTTGATAAAAAAGTGAGACCGAAGAACGGTGGCTATTTTCGTGGCGAGAAGACCACCAGCGAAGCGGTTTCTTTGCGAGCGACACGTGGAAACGGTTTCACGCAGGTCGGCTACGAATCAGGGCCTAAACCGATTATTTCCCGCGGCACGAGCACGGATATAAGGATCCTTGTTATTCCGGCGTTGATATTTCTCCTGTTTTTCCCAAGGGGAACGACGACGCGGGCATTGCATCGCGTGGATACGCGAGAGGAGGCCCCGTTCCACCTTAGGTCAATGCGATCGTATCTATTAATCATTCGATTCTTTCTCTCTTCTTGCCCCCCCCTCTTCCTCCCTCTTTCACCGTGCTCGGGCGTAAGACCGTGTACACAGTCACTCTTTTGCCTGATAAATGGCAATGAGCGCCGCGGTAAAGCGAATGCTTTACACGAGGCTAATCGCCGACTGACTAATAACTTTTCCCCCAGTGAACCGACCATGGGAACTCGCCTATTCAACCCCGCGGTATTTCCCTAATTTTTGGGAGCAGTTTTCAATCGTTCAAAACAAATTCTAGATCAATATTGTAAAATCAAGTAGAACAATGTATGATAGGGTGACACTATTACTGTTTAAAATTGGAAATTAATTTTCATAATTTAGGTCCCGGAATTTAGTTATTTTGCACGACCTTTGGAATGAGGTTGTTCTTCCAAGGTGCGAGTCGAGTTAACGGCTGTAAAAATAACATAAACGCGGGACATCAAATGGCTGACGACTTGGCTAACTCGTTGTGTTTAACGCACAGCTGCAGTTTTTCATCCTCGGTCCCATCCGTGCACGATAAGATACACGGTTAGATTTAGCTGGTAGGCTTTGATTATTTCATAACCTTTTGTATCTTAGAAATACATGCGGGTCTGAATTATTTTAAGTGAATGAAACAGGTAGGAAGTTAATACGGTACATCGCACTGAATGGAAAAGTAGCGTCGGGATTTCATTTCGCCGATCGAAGATCGTGAAAGTTCATTCATGTGATACGTAATTGCCTCGTTCAGCATTTTTCCACGCCGTCACTCCATCGATGATTTTAGCTTGTTCGCGGTTTAAAGATTCGCGAAGGATAAGTAAGCGTACGGTGCAATTAGCGTCGCGGAACGTTGGCTTGATTAATTTTTCACGCGGTCAGCGATGCCTGCTTCTACTCGGTACGAAAGCAAGAGTAACTAGCCTCCCCTCGTAGACACGCTCGTTGATTCGTATTACATGCTCGCACGACGGAACAATCGGGAGACACGCTTACGTACCATTTAACGAACCGCTTTATTTTTTCCGTTTACCTATTGTTTTCAATGATAAATATTCTGTTTTCGTTATCGATATCCATTCGATGTAGGGCACATCTTTAATTAACAAATATGCTCAAACTTCGTAAGACACAGATTCTTTAATCGATTGTCCAGTATGTCAGTTAAGATATAGAAATTAAGTAATTCTTCTTAGGAAAGCATAAGGCATCGAGATGCTATAAAATTGATCGATTAGCTGACAAATTGTGAATTGCACGGGATTTATATGAGGTTGTGTTTCAGAGTTTCATTGTGATGCAATACAATTGATCGATTAGCTGACAAATTGTGAATTGCACGGGATTTATATGAGGTTGTACTTCAGCGTTTCATTGTCATGTTAAATGAAAAATTTGCTAATATACTCAATCAATTGGGATATCAATTTTTTTCTTTTTAATCATTTCTTTTTAATATTAAAACGTAAGAAATTGACAGACACGTAGCTTGTTTTATTGAATTAAGAATACAGAGAAGTCTTTTCGAAGATTTTACAACTATTATTTAAATAATAATAAATATAATCTAGGTATACATCGTTTTAGCCAGTATTAGAATTGCAACAGTGAAAAAGAGAATAAGTACTTGTTGAAATTGGTTACGCTGTTAATTAGATTCGATTGGCAATAGGTATATAGTTTGTTCCTCAGGAAACACGATCTCCTCCCTGCTATTTTCCCTCGTTCGCGCAAGCCCAG